TATACACTTCAACATCAATTGAAACAGGCATTAGTGTTACGACTCATTGAGGCTAATGTGTAATAGCTAAAGGAGGTGACATCTTTTGAGTGGTTAACTTATTTACATAATGAGCACTTGTAAACACAAGCATAAACTTTTCCAATATTTTAGTTGGAATTGTTTGGAGCAAGTGATATGAAGTAAGAGTTTGGATAGATGTAAAGGAAAATGATATGTGAAGGATGTCATTCCTCTTTGATAGGAAATGTTTCATTGGAAAAGATTTTCCAATGACCAAACATCAGAAAATGAATGAAGGGCGGGCCTTTAAAGTGCACCACATCCAAGAGATGAATGTTTGCAAAAATGCAAATGTGAAGATGGATGTGCAGTCATTAGACAAGATGGAAAATGACCACATTCAACAGAATGTGCAAGTAGCACAAACAGAGTATAAAATGAGAGAAGGTAACTTGATATGGTTTGGTCATGGCCTACATCAACCTCTAGATGCACCGATTCATAGGTATATTGCCATGATGAGTAAAGGATAATGGAAGAGAAGGTAGATCTAAAATCACGTAGAAGTTGTCTCGCAAGACCTACAATCTCTTGAAATCCATGCGGATCTAGCAAATAAATGGCACAATGGAAGACAGATTTGTATATGTGATCAATTAGCTGAGACTTTTAACCATGTCAGCCCCTCCCCCCAAATTAGTTGAGATAAAGTTTTGGTCATGTTAGAAGCTTACTTTAGGTGAAAAAAAAGATTTAGATGAGATTATATTTTGGTCATGTCAGTACATTTACTTTAGTTCCAATATTTGCTAGGAGTTTTAGTCTTGTTAGAGATTTATACTCTAGTAGAAATTGTAGACAACCTCTAGTGCTAATGATTAAATTTTCATAATACTGGACTGAGATGGACATAAATTGAACAATATGGATGGTGATGATTCATATAGCCTAGTTGCTTGGGATTGACGCCTAATTGTTGCTGTTGCAAACACTAGAAAATGACTTCTTTTGCGGAATGATTTCTGTCGTACTAAATACTGATCTTTTAGGCCAAAGGGGAAATAGATATGTTTGAAAGTGTTTCATCTCCTTCGTGATTTATCTCTGCTAAAGCAAATGTCGTCTTTTCAGTTTCAGGATTCTGACGGCCAAGAGGATTTCTCCTTAGTTGGTCAAAGATGGCATCAGTGTCAAATGATGGGTTATCCAATAAGAGCGTGAAGAAGCGGCAGTTGGAAAATGGTTGCCACTCCTCATATTTGGGCATTATGCCAAAATATAAAACTCGAAAAGTCTCAGCAGTGCGAGATTTTCCTCCAGGGTGTGGTAGAACTTCTCCGAAAGTTGATTTGAATCATGAGCAAAATGCTGTAGTGTCCACCAAAATTGAAGACATGGCTAACGTTATATTGGTCGATGGTGTTAAAGAGACTAACATTGAGATCAAATCACAGTCTGTTGAGGGTGTGAACTGTCTAATTAACTTGAAAGATCAAGAAAAAGTGGATAGGTTAGCAGGGGAAGTGGTAGCGACAAACATGAGTGCAATAGCAAATGGGGTGGGAGAAAAAATAAGTGATGAAAAATCGATAGGAGTTGAGTTGCCAAAAGATCTCAAAACTAGTGAGATGGAGCTTTCCAAGGGAACGGAAGACATTCAGTATGACACTTCAGTGAAGGAAGTTGATGAGCAGGGTGTACCTTTGGTTGAAAATGTTGGTGGTGGGCACAAGACACCTGTTGGTGAAGTCAAAATGTTCTCTCCACCACAGCTAATCAGTGTTATGGAACATACCTCCTCGCCAAAGAATAAGTACCGCAAAAGAAGAGTATCTGCTGTTCGAGACTTCCCTCCATTTTGTGGAACAAATGCTCCTAAGCCAACTGTGCAGAAATGTTTTGGTGTTACTGAAGAAAGCAAGGATGTGGCTGGGTTCGGAAAGGCAGCTACAAATAATGAAGTAATTGAGACATTGAGAGATGTTACAGACACTGGGGCATTGCCAGAGAAGTTGATTGGAAGTGAGGATGCTGATTCTCTGAAAGAGAGGGACGTTTCTAGTCCAAAAGATAGGCAGTTGGAACAAATCACAATGGTCCGGACTGAAGAACAGGAAGGCGTCCAATGTGATTATGATGGAAGAAGTCGGGTGGAAAGAACTGTGGTTATGCCTGAGATAATGATGAAAAAAGAGGGTGATGCAGGAGTTGTAGGGAAGGAGACACTGGTTTATTCAGAGAACGAAAGGGAAAAGTTAACTACTGCAAGTAGTGCTCTTGGTTCTGGAAATGAAAAGCCGATTACAAAAGGTGCTAAGCCATATTGTGCACGGAAACAAGGGAAGCAAAAGAGTTTGGACGACCCTGTGAGTGGAAATGAAATTGTTGTCTCACAGGTCGAAAGTCATTTGACAAAGACTGCAGTCAATGCTCTTGGTTCTGGGCATGAAATAGTTAAGCCAATTGTGCAAGGTCTGATGGCCAAGCCATACTGTCCATGGATGCAGGGAGAGCGAACTAGTTTAGATTGTGGAAACCAAGTTGAGAAGGATGATTTGTCTGGGCGCAAGAAGGCCAAAGCTGTTACCAGAAAAAATAATCCTAGAGGTAAGAAAAAATTAGCTACTGTTGGTGAAGCTACTGATGGACTTTCAAGTGCATTAGTTGTGTTCAATGACGAAGGATCTGGTTTGTGGGCTACCAGCAATGATGGAGCTTGCAGTTTGAATAGAGAAGCTGTACATGAAGATTCTCCCGTTCGACGAGGACAATGTGATTTTGATGTGACCCTACCACCTTTTGGTCCAAACAGTTCCAGTCATGGTGATTCCCGTACTAAAGTTAGAGAGACTCTTCGTCTGTTTCAAGGTATCTGTAGAAAGCTTTTGCAAGGTGAAGAATCAAAGTCAAAACCTGAAGAAGCAAAATCGAAGCAGGGGCCAAACAGAATTGATCTTCATGCAGCAAAAATCATCAAAGAAAAAGGAAAAGAAGTTAACACAGGTCAGCACATACTGGGAGAAGTTCCCGGAGTTGAAGTAGGGGATGAGTTCCAATACAGGGTGGAACTTGCTATTGTGGGGGTTCATCGCCTGTATCAAGCTGGTATAGATTACATGAAGCAAGGAGGTATGCTGATCGCGATTAGTATTGTTTCTTCAGGGGTCTATGATGACGGTCTGGAAGATGCTGATGTGTTGATTTATTCTGGGCAAGGTGGAAATGTGGTGGGTAAGTCCAAAACCCCTGAGGATCAGAAACTGGAAAGAGGTAATTTAGCTTTGAAGAATAGTATATCAGTAAAGAATCCTGTTCGGGTGATTCGTGGCTCTAAGGAGACCAAGACCTCCGACTCTGTGGATGGTAAAGGTAAGTTGGTGACAACATATGTTTATGATGGGTTGTACACTGTTGAGAATTATTGGACAGAACAAGGGACAAAGGGTAAGATGGTTTTTATGTTTAAGTTGGTGAGAGTTCCTGGGCAACCAGAGCTTGCTTGGAAAGAAGTAAAGTCATCGAAAAAGTCCAAAGTGCGCCATGGTGTTTGTGTCCACGACATTACAGATGGAAAGGAGACATTCGCGATAAGTGCTGTGAATACAATTGATGGTGAGAAACCTCCACCATTCAATTACATCAAGAAGATTATATATCCTGACTGGTTCCAGCCTTGTCCTTTTAAAGGTTGTGATTGTGTTGGGAGATGTTCTGATTCCAAGAAGTGCTCATGTGCAGTTAAAAATGGAGGCGAGATCCCATACAACCGTAATGGGGCTATTGTTGAAGTGAAGCCTCTGGTATATGAATGTGGTCCTCATTGTAAATGTCCCCCTTCTTGCTACAATAGAGTCAGCCAACATGGTATTAAAGTTCCACTTGAGATCTTTAAGACAAATTCAAGGGGCTGGGGTGTGAGAGCTCTAACATCTATTCCTTCAGGAACCTTTATATGTGAGTATGTAGGAGAACTTCTTGAAGACAAGGAAGCTGAACAAAGAATTGGCAGTGATGAGTACCTTTTTGATATTGGGCAGAACTATAGTGATTGTTCTGTGAACTCTTCCAGGCAAGCAGAATTAAGTGAGGTAGTAGAAGAGGGTTATACAATTGATGCAGCTCAGTATGGAAATATCGGGAGATTTATCAATCATAGTTGCTCACCTAATTTGTATGCACAAAGCGTTCTTTATGATCATGAAGATAAGAAAATGCCTCATATCATGCTTTTTGCAGCAGATAACATTCCTCCTTTGGCGGAGCTCAGTTATCATTACAATTATTCCGTGGATCAGGTACATGACTCCAAGGGCAATATCAAGGTGAAGAAATGCTTTTGTGGATCTTCAGAGTGTAGTGGTAGGATGTACTAGGGGTTTGTATAGCTTTCTTTCAAGTTGAGGTGGAAAATTGCTCATTTGATGTAAGAATTTTCACTGCAATTTATTCGCCTTCCTTACTTTTATGTCTGCATTTGATCGGATTAATATGTACTGTATGTTTTCCCTTCTCATACATGGATCTGGATGCATTAGTGTTTGTATGTATCTCTTCTTTCCCTATTGCAAGGAAAGTCGGCTACACTGTGGGTAATGTGCATACTGATTTTGCAGGGAAAGAGAAGTTTGTTCAGGGAGGCTCATAAGCTTCCTTAATCAAGACTATGATTTTGCATTTCTATTAGGTTACTTGTTGCCTGTGTTGACATACAATTTGTGTTGCTAAATGTGTCGTCTTATTGAAAGACTGTATACTCAAGCAGATATCAAAGGCAAGCACCATACTTATTGAATCAATCTATGCTCTCCATTTAGTTGTTACTGCTTTCATTTTTCGTTCACTTTTTCAAACTGCTTTGAAATGTTTTATTTACACGGAGGGTCTATTGGAAACAACCTCGTAGGGGTAAGGTTTGCGTACTCTCTACCTTCTCCAGATCTCTTTGTGATTACACTGGTATGTTGCTGCTGTTGTATACAATTACTAGAGAGCCATGATAACTCAACAAACAGCAGTGAAGAAGTTTATTATATCAATACATTGGAGAACCAAGTACACGAGGTGATGTCTAATACGCAACTAATCTAAAATTTATTCTGTAAACTGATAGCTGAAGTAGCAGTGTAGCAATAGTAATTCATTAGAAGGTAGATATAGATATATAATAGTTTTGATTAAGAGAGCTGAATATCTGTCTCAATAGTGATCCCAGCTTTCCATTCAGCAGGGATTACAGCCTTATCAGACTCCACCCATTTGGTTTCAGCACCAGCACTTGTGAGGAACCTCACTTTAAGTTCACCACTTGGTGGGTTCGATAGGTCGAATATAGCTCCATAAGCTCTCCTCATTGATATCCATTCTTTTGTTTCCTCCTGCATCAACATATAGTGGTAAATCATGTTTGCCAAGATAGGCTTCCAACATCACAAAATATTTAAAGTAGGCGACGTCAGGATTTTTAGTTTACAGTAGATGTTGAATTCATTTAACTTCTTCGGGTATTTTTAGACGAACCTGGAAGACTTCGACAGAGAGAATGTCAGTGGCACCACCTTGGTTCATAACAAGAATAGCAAGGTAGTTAGGGTGCTTGCTATGTTCTTGGACTTTAACCATGAGATTTCCTCCACCATATTTGCAAGAAACTCTACGATATTCTACTTCAACCACTCCTTTAGCAAACAAGTGCTGAGCCATATTAGGCTGCTTTGCCATTTTAGCATAGCCACGGGAGCTTAGAATGAAGTCTGTTCCATGCCCTTCTCCATTATCAGTCACAACTACTTTTGTGCCCTCATCACTGCACAAATCCTTGTCCTTGCACCTTACCTGTAAATTTTACTTTTGTTAATCAGTATTTTGACTACTTTAACTAATTTTCATTAAAGGTGTAATGAGTTTTTACACTATCAGATAATTTGTTTTATTTTGAGTTTTATAAAAGTTATGTTGGGTTAAATAAAAAAGATACTCTTAAGTCTTAACATGGTGTGATATTATCCATTTTGGGTCAAGTCTGCACAGTTTTCCTCAAAAGGTCCACACCATTAAAAGATCCTACAGTTATATGTAGTTTTTCAATTTTTTCAGCTATCAATATGAAACTTTGTTCACATACCCTACAAATATATATTTAGTGTAAACAAATTAATTACACTTCTATAATATATATATATATAAGTTAAATTCAAGTGCATTTGACTTGATGACATATGACTTTTTCTTTGGGTGCAAATTATGAAGGAAACAAGGATCTAGAATACCTGGTAGCAAGTTCCACAGGCAGCTCCATTTTTGTAAAGGCGCTTGGAGGCTGTGCAAACATCGCCACTATTCACATCTTTGCCATAGTCTCCGTAGCCACATGCTCCACCTGATTTAAATTATAAGCAGTTAAATGTTAAAATTAGATATTACACATGTCATATATTCTTATCAGTTTAATATTTGATATGTAAACTATCAGAACGCACTATATTAACTCATTTTTTTAAGGAGAATGTCCGTTAGGGTAGCTTGCTATCCGGCCTTTGCGCGTTGCTTAGGCATTGCACTAGTACAGCCCCAGGCTTGGCACACCCATTGTATACAAAAAAAAAAGTATATATTCATGAATTTAGCTACACTTTTATTTTATTTTACGTTACACGAGTCGTTTCGAAAGTAGTCATGATATTAATCAAGTTGATAATATTTAGAAATAAAGTTTTGGCTTGGAGGAGTGAGAAGTCACATGAAAACTTAATATATGTAATTTGAGATCAACGTAATCTAATTCTTTTTAGTTAAAAGCAGGGAACTATATATGTAACAAAATTAGGAGATCATGACACATAAATTTAAATGACTTTTAATCAGGAATTTCGAGTTTGAGTCCTGAGTATGAAGAAAATCTTATTGGAAGCGTCACTTCCAAATTGGCTTTGTAGTGTGCAATCCAACTTTAGCCGGGATCTAATGTAGGCTTCAGACACGGGAGAAAATTAAAAAAAAAACACATAAATTTAAATAAAATTTGACATTTTGGAAGGTGTGAAAAAGAGCATACTTGGTGTCCCCATGCCATCTGGGGTGCTGTAATAGGAAACTCTTGAAACATAATTATTGCTGTAGCATAGTGAAGGCAAGAGCAAAACAATGAAAAGAAAAGTGTTTTTGAGAAAAACCATTTTTTTTGTGTTATAGAATTATATATATTACAATGAGAAAAGTAGTGAATGTGATATTGTACGAAGAATTTCTATGAATTTATAGGTGTGCGCTAAATAGTAATATCGACGTTTTCTGCCACATTTCTACTTCCACTATGGATAGTGGAAACCAGATGTAAACGAAAGAAAAGTTAGTAACAAAATTAACTTGATGACACACAATTACACTAATCATTCATTGAACATCCTAATAATTAAACCTGGAAAGAACCAAAATATATGATGTTTATTCCTTCCAGATTTTTCATCAAGAGATATAAAGAAAAGTCATTGTCTGACATTCCTAATGATCAAATATAAGGAGGTCCAAATCATCTTACATTCGATAACATGCTACTAATAGCTCTCAAATTACGAAAAAAATCCAAAGAGAGAAGAATCTAAGAAATAACACAATTGTATTATTTGTACTCATGAATATTCAACAATAAAAACCTCGATTTCAATTATGTGTATAGATATATTTGGTCACCTCTTATAATTAAACATGTTGTAATCTAGAGAACCATAAAAAGAAATTAACTTACTTCTGCATGAACCTCTAAACAAAGGACGAATTATCGTCTGTCTGAGTTGCATTGGGAACACTCTTAAGATAGTATATACTACTCACATATGCAGATCATAAGTTAAAGTTTATGTATTCCTACGATAATATTAGGTTAATATACGACAATAACTAAATTTATAATTAAATATTTATATAAAATTAATGATTTTTTTAATATACACGTTAACACTATCGAGTTCATGAGAATATTTTCTTCTGGATATTCATCAAACATTTTGCTTGGATAAATAAAAAAAAGTATATTTAAGTTGATTTGATCAGTTTTAATTGTGTTCTATCTTATACAAACAAGAAGCTTAACCAAATATTATACGATTATCCTTTTACATTCACAAAAAATATAAAAATAAAAGAATGTTTCATCTCATTGCTTGTTACTAATCCCATTAATTGGTATTATTCAATATTTCTGTTATTAGTTATGTATTATTTTGACATGCTAAATGATTTACAAAAAGAGAAGAGGATCGTGTTATCTATCACCTTACATGAGTTTTTCCCGTGTGGTTGCTCTCTAATATATTATAATAAACAAATTTGTACGTTAAACAACACAACCGGATCCGTGGCGCAATGGTAGCGCGTCTGACTCCAGATCAGAAGGTTGCGTGTTCGATTCACGTCGGGTTCAATCTCCCGAATTCATATCCGGTCACTTTTTTGTACAGTTTTATGTGCCTCTCTCCATCGCTGCAATACTAGTTAATTATTTAACATAGCTACAATTTGTATTAATTATCATTCGGAACTAACTTTTAACTTTATTTACATATCTCCTTTTTTCCTCTCTCTCCCCTCTCTCCTCCTCTTTGTGAAATCTTTCTCACCTCTCTCTTGTCCCTGTCTAATCTCTCGCTTCGCTTATACAATCACAAATTATACAAATACAAATGTTAACAGTCATTTATATATACAAATGATAACAATCATACAAATATAAATACCAATCTTTCTCTCCCTTCTCCTCCTCTTTGTGAAATCTTTCTTGCCTTTCTCCTCTCCTGTCTAATCTCTCTCGCTTCGCTTATACAATCACAAATTATACAAATACAGATGTTAACAGTCATTTATACAAATACAAATGATAACAATCATCAATTATACAAATACAAATGCCAATCTTTCTCTCGCTTCTTTCTGTCCAGTATTTCTCGCTTATACAAACACAAAGTATACAAATACTAATGTTAATAGTCATTTATACAAATACAAATGATAACAAACAGTTATACAAATATAAATTATATGTGTCGATTAGATAGATCTCTTTAGTGATACAAATACACATGTATTCGTTGATACAAACATTGATACAAATGATGATAATAAATTATACATATACAAATACAAATTGATATGGTTATATACAATTTATTCATTGATACAAATTGTATTTCGTTAATGCAATTGTATTTATTGATACATATACATACTAATTATATATTTGTAATTATGCACATATACAAATACAATCATTGATACATATGTATACCAGTTACATATATACAATTATCTGATAGATATATATACAAATACAATTCGCTTCTCTCCACTCTCTCGCCTCTCTCCTCCCTCTCCCAATCTCGCTCACATATCTCCTCCCTCTAACATGTAGCTACGAATCATAATTAGCAAACTATAATTATGGAGCTTAATTAAGTTTATTTTAGTGGCTATTTGTGAATTTTTTATTTTTATGTTTAAAAAGTAATTGTTAAAAAGTCAAACTTAAGTATGGATGACAACGGGGTAGGGGCGGATGCGGAGCGATTTTAAGGTTGTGTGGGGCAGGTTGAAGTAAATTTTTTAAAAACTAATGTAGGGCGGGGCGGGTTGATGGTCTATGGGATTTTATGCGGGTTCAAACTTAATTTTAACTTTTTACCTGTTATAAGAGTGATAGAGCATTATTTATCAAAGATAATTTCTTTAAAATCACTATGATATTTAAGATAGTAAATAAAAATGGTTAAATCAAAACTAATACGATTTCTTACATGCTTCCCAATTAACCTTTAAAAAATAAAATTTTAAGTCATTATCTATTAAATTACTACAACTTAATGAGAAAATGAATTTAATTTTATAAATTTTATTTTTAGTATCAAACTTAATTAAAAAAGAAAATTAATCAAAAATTTATGCAGGGCGGGGTGGGTGGTTTGAAAATGAAAAAAGTTATTATACGAGGCGGGAAAATTTTTTTACGGGTTAAGCTCAACCCGCTCCGCCCCATTGCCATCCCTAAACTAAAGTAGCTTTTAAGTTAAAAAAAATGAAAAGTAGGAGAGTACCTATTTTAAACTTTTTTTAAGTCATTTTATTTTAAACTTATTTTAAGTTATTTTTAACTTTATCAAACGTTCACAAAAGTTAAAAGTAACTCAAAAATAAATTTGACTAACTTTTAAGTAAAAAAATATATTATTGTTTTTCTCCTTTTGTCTGTGGTCGAAATAATAACAGAACTGTAATATATTGTTTTTTTTTCCTCTCGGACAGAACAAAAGACGAAAGGAAAAAGATTGAACAAAAAAAGGACCGGATATGAATTTCGGGGAATTGAACCCGACGTGAATCGAACACGCAACCTTCTGATCTGGAGTCAGACGCGCTACCATTGCGCCACGGATCCGGATGTTATAGAAATACTTTTTTTTATATTTAATAATCATTATAAGATAAGATCGATAACAATGTCCATTTAGGATATACTGCGGATCTGAGTTGCATTGGGAACACTCTTAAGATATTTTTAACTTTATCAAACGTTCACAAAAGCTAAAAGTAACTCAAAAATAAATTTGACTAACTTTTAAGTAAAAAAATATATTATTGTTTTTCTCCTTTGTCAGTGGTTGAAATAATAACAGAACTGTAATATATTGTTTTTTTATTTTCCTCTGGGACAGAACAAAAGACAAAAGGAAAAAGATTGAAAAATAAAAGGACCGGATATGAAATTTCGGGGGAATTGAACCCGACGTGAATCGAACACGCAACCTTCTGATCTGGAGTCAGACGCGCTACCATTGCGCCACGGATCCGGATGTTATAGAAATACTTTTTTTTATATTTAATAATCATTATAAGATAAGATCGATAACAATGTCCATTTAGGATATGCCATCTTGCCTCAATCAAACATTTGAAACCATATATTCCATCCTGTAGAAACACTTTTTGTTATATTTAATAATCATTATACGATAAGATCGATAACAATGTCCATTTAGGATATGCCATCTTGCCTCAATCAAACATTTGAAACCATATATTCCATCCCCTGCCAATACGTTCTCATTCAAACAACATCTTACACTAATCTATAGGTAGAAAAAAGTTGCTTCTATACCATGTCAACTATGACACATCAAGAATCAATATGCACTTTAGTGATTGTGACATACCACATAATGCTGACAATCTCAAATATTGGAAAAGGACGAGACTAAAAGGGAAGAAAGAATATCTGAGAAACAACACAAGGACTTCAGATTGCCTAGCTAGCACTACCTACTAAAGTCTAGTCAATTTAAGTATCTATCAAGTCATGTTGGTAAGCTTAAGTTTGGTCCAGAGTTGTTAAGTTTGTATATCAATAAAAAAATGTATATAACATCTAATGTTAGAGAACCCAAATTATTGAATATTGGGATGATACAGATTCATATGAGGGGAAATGGATTGCGAGAATGCATATAGTTTGACCCCAAGTAACTTGGATTAAGGTGGTGTTTTGGTTGTTGTATGTTGTCAAGTCAATAATAAAGGAGAATTTACATCTTTAAATAGGATAATGTTTGGTGCCTCAATGATTTATGATCTCCCGTTGTACATTCTCATCAATTTGAAACAACAGCTAAATACACATCATTTAAATGACCAGACTAACTTAACCACAGAAATGATCATTTAGATGTTATACAACAACAATAAACCTCGATTCAAAAGAAATGCTATTGAAGCAGAATTGCATGAATAATATAACCCAAATAAAAACACATCATTTAAATGATCAGGCTAACTTAACCACAAAAATGATTATTTAAATGTTAGACAACAAACAATGACTACTAAAATAACCCCGTTACCTCTCCCACATAAAATGTTAAAAAACTTCGCTAGAAGGAGGGGTTGAACCTCCGACCTTGTGGTTAACAGCCACACGCTCTAACCAACTGAGCTATTCCAGCTTTGCTGATGAATGGAACTATTATTTAAAATCAATCCAACAAATTAGGAGAAAATGTAGTGGAGCTTTGTCAGTACCAACTTATTATTGCTCCTTAAGATCAATTATCTAGACCTCAAATCCAAACAATGTTGGGATCAAGAAATCAAGAAAAAAGTTTTAAAAATATTACTCTCTTCCTCCCTCCGTCCACTTTTAATTGTCATGTTGCGCTTTTCAAATTGAATTTTGTG